TGGATATATGATGTTCAAGTGGAAATTAAAGGACAGTCCAGAATGTGACTGTGGAAATGACAGCCAGACTATGAGGCATATTACAGACGAATGCCCGAATAGAAGGTTCGAGTCGGGCATTATTGGGATTAATGAAGTTACGAAGGAAGCATTTGAATGGATAAGGACCTTGGACATAGAAATCTAAACTTGACTAAATACTATAATGTACTGTTATCAATATCACGTATAAAACGTGTATATTTTATTTTATTTATTTTAATTTTATTCATTGTATTTTAAATGTTACTGTGTTATTGTTGCCATACGAATAAAAAAAAAAAACATGATAACTAATGATTTATGATATATTATATATATTTAATATTATAACTCATAGTATACCCTCTGCTTTTTTAGGACTACAGCACTGCCTTGCAGTTAGTGCTAATTTCTGTATTTATATTTCATTAAAATTAAAATTTTAAAATAATATTTTTTAGCAGCTAATAACTATAATATTAAATATTAACGATTTCATGCAATAAGTATTTATTTTTTATCGTTCTCATTCTATTATTCCAATGCGATTTGCCACTTTATCAGTTGTTGAGTCTTCGAAATACGTGGTATGAGTTCAAATTTAATGCGGATGTCATTGGGTCTATGCCCTATGGGCTATGGTACATACTTCTCTATATAGTGTCGTATATTGTAGACAGTCGTCTAAATATTATTTCATATATGTAATAGAGGTGGGAACTTTTTATTGTAAACCATTGACATAGGTCAGTGAAGCATATGTGCTGAGACAGCTATAAGATTACTATATAACACCGCCGCACGCGCAGGCACGGGAGAGTCCCGTTGTCGCTGAGTGAATCGGCGAGAACGTAGGTACTGTGGTCGTGCGTGTGAAACGTCGATCGGAGTACGGGCTAAGCGATCTGAATTCGCCAAGTATATTTTATTTTGTGTTTGTTATTTAAATATAATAAAAGTGTTTCCGACCTAAAAACCCGAGTTGAGTTTTATTTCAAAGTCTTCTTCGTTTTTACCTTTAATATTGGAACAGTGCTCAGACCCACACACCTATAGTCAATGAGGTTTATTACAAACTGAACAGTGCTCTGGTTGTGGCGTCCTAATAGTCATTCCAATTTAGGAAACGAACGAAGAACTGACAAAACGCTACCATCGTACCTCAAAGGTTAACAGTGCTAATCTGAATTTATTCTAGAGACAGTCATTAGCCTAGAGCGTACGAGGGTAAGGTATAAAGTTGGTTTACCGCGTATTATCCAATACGGGTGATACCACAGAGTGGCGCCCAACGGGGTTACTTATCCACGGTCGGAGACATTTTTTTGATTTTTTTGTGCCCTGGTACCTCAACCTTGGCAAGTTTAATTTTTTTGAAAGTGTTTACGTACGAGAAGTACGACAGTTTTTACGTGTAGTCTGGGAGAGATTCCCTTGACACACCATTTTTTTTTTTTGGTACAAGTGAAGTACAACAATTGTGCACGTTTCGGATAGTAAAACCCGGAGCGAGTTTAGTGATTTTTTCCGTTAAAGTAAAATATACCTTTTGTGTTTTGGGTGCAGTGTAAACCCAGAACGCAATTTTTGTGCGTGTGTATACCGAGTGAGTAACACATACGCGTTCGATTTTCGTCTGACCGACAAGACAGCAGTTTTGTGCCGCGTGGTACAATTTTTGCAACCGTGCGTCTACAAGTATACGCCAAGGTGAGCAAAGTTTTGTAATATACTTAATACTTATTTTAGGATTATAGATTAGATTTTTCTTAAAACAATTTAAATAGAATTTTAGTTCAATAATTTTTCAAAATTTTTTTTTTCGATTTTAAATAACCGCAAAATTTTAATTTAAGTTTTAAACAAGTAGATTAAGTTTTTTATAGAAACTATTTAAATAGGATTTTTTTTTAGTTCAATTTTTCTCTCTATTTCCTTTTTTTTTCTTTTCAAAATTTTATTCGATATAATTATAACCGCAAAAATATATTAATTTAAGTGATATACTAACGTATTAATATTAGGATTGTAGATTAGTTTATTTTAAATTTAAATAGGATTTTTTTTTCTCAATAATTTTTCAAAATGTTTATTCAATATTAAATAACCACGAAAAATTAAATATATTGGAAAATAAAAATCCCAAAAACAAAATGGAAAAAATGATAGTAAAACCGGATAGTTTTTCCGGACAAGGCGACATAAAAACTTTCATCAGACAATACGAAAAGGCAGCACAGATCAACAATTGGAACGACGACGAAAAAATTAAGTTTCTATCAATATTTTTGAAAGAAACTGCTAACAAATTTCTACAAAATTTGGAAAACAAAAGAGAAAACTGGTCATGGGAAAATCTAAAAAGCGAGTTCATAAATGAATTTCAACCCATAGGATACTCAATAATATTAAAAAACAAATTAGAAAATAGGAAACAGAACTACTTAGAGTCAATTTCTAGTTTTGTTACGGAAATAGAATACCTGTGTAGCCAAGTACAAAAAGATATGAAAGAGGAAGATATTTGCGTGTACATACTAAAAGGTATTAGGGAACCTATATTACATGCCATTTCACTGCATGATAATAGTACTTTGAAAAAATTGAAAGAAAATTTAAAAAAATATGAACTTATGCAATTTAGAATTAATTCAAGAAGTTCAGGACTCAGCGAATACACGGAAATCTTAAATAAACAAGTAATGCAACTAAATAATGAAACTAAAGACAGCAATCAAGAAATAAAACGATTAAATACAAAATTAGAAGGAATAGATAGTTATCATAAAAACAAAATCGACCAACTGTGTACCAAAATCGAACAACTATGTACAGAAATGCATAATTTTAAAAAATACGACAAGACAGTCAATTTTGAAAATAAACGACGATGACGAAAAATCTATAGAAAACATCGTAACAATAAGTAATTTGAACCCATTAAATGAATTCCAAAAATTCCTACTCAGCAACAACGATAGAACCGACTTCCTATGCGATTACAGTGAACAGACGGTAAATATTTTTTCATTACCAAATGATATCGCAATCGGCCATTGCACAAGCCAATGCCTCACCATGTCGAAGGGGATCGCATTACAATTTAGAAATAAATTTAACAACGTTCAAAATTTAATAGACCAAGAAAAAAAACCGACCGAAATTGCTTATTTGAAAAACGGAAGACAATGGATTCTATACCTCATAACAAAAAATAAATATTACGACAAACCAGCATACACTAACATTTTTAGCACATTAACTAATACTAGGCAATTTTGTATAGCAAATAATATTACTACCTTAGCACTACCCAAAATTTGCACTGGACAAGACAAAAAGGATTGGAACGTTATTTCTACCATGATTAAGTTTATTTTTCAAAACACGCAAATAAAAATACTAATATGCCTACTGCCGAGCAACGACAATGAAAATAAATATTATAAAAACAATGATTCCCAAACTACTAATATTACGATAGGTAAAAATTTTAATAACACGATCAGTGATAGTTTAAAGAACGAAATCGCACTAATAGCTGGCTCATTCATAAAAACGAAAGACGTACCCGGAGACGGTGATTGTGGTGCCCACGCACTACGAATATGCTTGAAACAACATGGTATATATAGAAAGACGGTAGAATTATTAAATATGCTCGGCATTCCTAATTGCAAATCTGGCTACTATTTTAAAAATGACGATCTAGCATTTATTTGTGACCAATTTAATTTAAATTTATATTTAATACACGAAGATTCCGAACATACAAATGCCATAATATACTGGAAATCAAATAGGAAAAGTATAGGGATATTCGAAAAAGATTATAATTGGACACCAGGAATTATCACAAAAATATATAAACCACTTCAATTCAATAAAATAATAATAAACACAGTTTTTCCCGACTTTAATACTGTAGAAAAAAATGTAGACCATTTCTTATACGAATGTTTCGATCGCTTAAAATTATCACAACAAAACACAATAGAAAAAAATAAAACCGGCAACAATTTTAAAACTGACAAATCAACAATATGGTACTCACAATTTTGCCAAGACTGCGAATATTTGTCCACAACCAAGGATGTACTAGACGACCACGATGACAAAGAAGAGTATTGGAGTGAGGGGGGAAACGTTATGTTTTGTGAAATATGCGGAAACTACATAAGAGAATATCGGAATCGGCCCATACAAGAAGACGAGAAAGCCATAGAAACCAAAAACCAGCTAATTCAAAACAAAAACGAAATTAAAATCAAAAATCAAAATACAAGCGTAGATTCAGACACAGACCGGAAACAAAGAGTGCTATCCATACAAATAAAACTAGACGGCAACGAACAAAATGCAATAATAGACACAGGCTCAAATCTATCATGTATAGATTATTCCCTAGTAAAAAATAAACAAGAAATTAAACCCGAGAACAAACACCAACAACGAAGACATAAGAAAGTTACCGAAAACATTGATAAAAATCCAGGAGGGCTTCGAGAATCTTATAAATGTTATCAAGTCCATTGAATAATTTTTCTAAATATTACCTTAAACAAAATTAATGTAATTGTAAAAATTAAAATTTATCAAAACCAGGGCCGTCCCGAAAGACAAATCATGGGGGGGGTGGTTTGATTCATAATTTGCCAACTAAAAAAAAAAATTTTCTCGCTTCGCTCGACAATTACCTTCTACCTGCAGACTATACATGCATAGTAGTCAGTAGACAAATGTTACACAATATTAAATATTTTATTATGTTCTTACTATGTTCTTTTATTATATCAACAAAAAAATATTATAATAAACTTAACACTAAATTTATATAAGTCGGTTTTTTAAAATTGACCATTGATGTGCTATTTTATTTATATCCAATAGGTCAACAATATCTTTTTCTACTCCCAATACAATTAAAGAGTTTAATCTCTCATCAGAAATTGTTGACCTAAGATATGTTTTAATCAATTTTAGTTTACTAAAAATCTTTCGTTTGATGCGACTGTTACAAGAGAAGTCAATGCTAAACGACAAATTTGATTAGCACATGGTAAAATATGCTTTACTTCTTCTGCTTTTTCCATTAAAGAATTAAATGGTAATGTTCTATCTTCTTGTAACATACTAAATAATATTTCTAATTCTGTTTGAACTAAATCATAATCTAGAAGGTAAGCACCTACACTGCTTGGTGGGAACAAACAAAAAGGAATATTGCTTTTATTAAATGGTTGAGTAAATAATGGTTGAATAGAAGAAATACATGATTTTAAATTATCATTTGTTAGTTTTAATAGGGTATCTAGAACCATTTTAAATTCTTTTCTATAAAATAGATGCATTGTGAATTCAGCTTGGGTTGTGGCATTACAATCATATCGTTTAGGAGCTATAATCTTTTACGATGATGGTTTTTAAAATCAGCGCACAATTCCTTATCAGTTATCATTACAGCATTATTAAAAATAATTCAATGATTATACGACAGAATATAATATATTATGAAATTTCATATATTCTGTGATTATTCGAATATGTATAGGCAAATTTGTATACTGTTATAATAATATATATGATACATTGATAGGTAAAGTCTAAAATATTATATTTATTTATGTATAATAAACGGGTATTAAACCCTTTAGCAATTAGAAAAAAATATAAGTACAGTTTAACTTATCTTATAACATAATTTGGACACAATAATGATGTAAAATTATTTGTACCAATGGAAATAGTTAACAGCCAAAAAAGAATAAATATATAGTACAGTAAAAATCATTAATAATTAACAATAAATGGTTACACAAAAAAAAAAAATTTTAATAAGAATAAAATAATAAAAATAATATTTAAGCAAGAGAATTTAAATTTTAAAGCAAGATAAACATTTTGTCTGAATACAAAACGCGACATAGCAAAAAAATCAACATGATCCATTATACTGTTAGCCAAAGACAGAGCTCTGGGGAAAAACGAGGTGGAAGTATAATTATTTTTGGAAAGAGAAACATGAAAAAAGTTAGATTTTCTTAATACGTGAGTTTGTACATTAAGACCAATGTGAAATAATAATTCCGGAGAATAAATAAGACCATTTAATAAGTCATATAAGAACATAATATCCGCAACATTTCTCCTCAAATCACAAGACGCGATCCCCAATTGGGAAACTTGCAATTTATATAATTCTCTCGTGATTGGTATATTTAATTTAAAGCATAAAGTTTTAGAAACTTATACTGAACATTTTCAATTAGATTGGTATATGAAAAATAATGTGGAGACCAGATAATTGATCCAAATTCAAGATGAGACCTAACCAGGGAAAAATATAAAGTTTTTAAGGCATTGGTATTTTTAAAATTTATCGTGCTATTATAATAGTATTAACTGTGTTGGACAGTTGGCAATCGGAAAATTAACTTATAATACCTTCATATTATTATAAATTACAATATATTATTATGATATATTTGGACTTGTAGTATATACAAAATTATTAAAAAACTGTAAAAAAAATTATAATTTGCCAAGTGCCAACTGCCCAACTCAAATACTTAATGTAGGTATCAATGTGCCAACTGACATATACATATTATACGCTCAGGGGGGTGGGACACCCCCTAAAACCCCCCTTCGGGACGGC